CGCTCTGGCTGGCACTTCGAGGCGACTCCGGCGGTGGCGGCGAGGTCCTCCCAGGTCGGGTGTTGCCAGAAGTGCCCCTGGCCCAAGGTGCCCCCAGCTTTCCGCTCCATTTTGGAGTCCCTGGGGTCCTTTGGGCCTTGTGAGGGGCGACCGGTTGTTACTGTGGCCCGTTGGGTGTTAGTGTGGCCCGTTGGGTGTTAGTGTGGCCCGTCGCGCGGCGGGATGGGAGTTACTGTGGCCCGCGCAGGCCGCTCAATGAAAAGTAATATGTAAAGGTATCTCATGTTAGATCTGGAGAGATTCGCAACCCTCAAGGGAATGCACTCCCACGCAGGCAAAAGTGGCCACAGTAACTCCCACCTGGAACCAACGTGGTAGTAGTGCTGTGTTAGTGGTGTGGTGGTCGCTGTGCTGTGTTAGTGGTGTGGTGTTGGTAATGTTGTGTTAGTGGTGTGGTGTTGGTAGTGGCTGGTTGTGCTGTATGCTGTGTTAGTGGTGTGGTGTTGGTAGTGGTGTGCTGTGTTAGTGGTGTGGTGTTGGTAGTGTTGTGCTAGTGGTGTGGTGTTGGTAGTGTTGTTGAGTTGTTAGTAGGTAGTAGTGTTGTGGTAGTGGCGGTGGTGCTGTGGTAGTGGTGTTGTGGTAGCGGTGTTGTGCTTGTGGTATTGTGGTAGCGGTGTAGTGGTGTTGTGGTAGCGGTGTTGTGGTACTGGTATTGTGGTAGTAGTGCTGTAGTGTGGTGTAGTAGTAGTAGTAGTAGTAGTAGTAGTAGTAGTAGTAGTAGTAGTAGTAGTAGTAGTAGTCGTAGTAGTAGTAGTCGTAGTAGTAGTAGTAGTAGTAGTAGTAGTAGTAGTAGTAGTAGTAGTAGTAGTAGTATAGTAGTAGTAGTAGTAGTAGTAGTAGTAGTAGTAGTAGTAGTAGTAGTAGTAGTAGTAGTAGTAGTAGTAGTAGTAGTAGTAGTAGTAGTAGTAGTAGTAGTAGTAGTAGTAGTAGTAGTAGTAGTAGTAGTAGTAGTAGTAGTAGTAGTAGTAGTAGTAGTAGTAGTCGTAGTAGTAGTAGTCGTAAGTCGTAGTATTCGGAGAGCCCAAGAGGCTCTTCGGAGAGCCCAAGAAGCGCTTCGGATGCCCCAAGAAGCTCTTCGGAGGCCCCACGAGGCTCTTCGGAGAGCCCAAGAGGCTCTTAGGCGGCTGGAAGAAGGTCTTCGGCGGCTCCAAGAGGCTCTTCGGAGAGCACCAGAGGCTCTTCCGAGAGGCTCTTCGGTGAAGGGGGGGGGGCGGAGCCTTTTTGGACCCCCCCCCCTTCACCGTACTCGATAATTAATACACTCCGGAGGACCCCTGGCCATACTAACACCCACCGGGCCGCAGTAACAACCAACGGGCCGCAGTAACACCTTATCTCGGAGGCCGCCTGCGCCACCCCGAGAGAATCCTGGGGGTACCTTGGGCCAGGGGTACCTCTGGCAGCACCCGACCAGGAGGCCCAGGCAGGGGAAAACGAGGGACGGGTAGAGGCCTGGGTGCCTCTTCCTCCTGGGGCTCGGTGTGCGGGGCCGCGCTGGCAGCCGAGCTGCCTCCCGTGGCCTCTCCCGGCGGGCGCGCTCTGCCGCAGCTGGCGCGGCCTCGCGCCACCGCAGGTGCTCGCCGCCCGGCCGCCGGCTTTGCCGCGCTGCGCGCGGCCAGCGCGTCCTCCGGCGGGCGTGGTCGTCCCGTCCGCAGCAATGGCTGCAGCCCGCGGGCGCACGGGTGAGTCCTCCCAGGCCAGACGGGAGGTTTTTCGTCGTGGTCGGCTTCTGGGGGCCCTCACCGGGCCTCGGGGCCGTCAGCAAAAAGACCCGGGACGAGGCACCGGTCCTGGGAAGTGGGTCGGGACCTCTGGGGGTCGACGTTATGAGCAAATCATGATGTCGGGGGTTTGGGTTTAACGGCGTCCACGTCCTCCTTGCCGGCGACTGCGTCGCATCCCCAACGCATTGAACATCTGCCTTTGGCGATCGCCAGCGCCTGGGCAACCCCTCCCGCCCACGACAGGAGGAATGCCCGCCACCAGCCCGACGCCGCCGGCGGAGGTGCCAGCGTCGCATCGCGCGGGCAACTTGCTGCGGGCTTGCAACTTCAGCGAAGCCGCTGTGCACGTGGACGCCTCGTCGGCAACTGGCACGGTCATGACGCTGCCGAGCTCGTCGCCCCGCCCAAGTCTTGGGTCGCACCCGCGCGATTGGCGCTGAGCGCCGAGTCCATCGTCCTGAAGCCCGTGCGCTGTGAGAGCGCGGTCCCCTCGGCGCCGATTCGGTGGGCGCCCAGCGGTGGCCGCCGGCTCCTCCTTCGTGATTCAGGAGGGAAAACACACAGACACCATTAATCGACGATTCCCCAGTAAATATGGGAAAATATCGGAAGTGGGGGGGAAGGCAAAAACCCAGAAAATATGGACAAGTATGGGGATTCCTGTTGTTTGTGTGTACTTACTTGTGTGTCCTGGGGCCCCTTCACCAGCGGTGGCCGCCGGCTCCTCCTCCGTGGTGTCTGCGCCAGCGGCGTGCACCTCGGCGAGGCCGGGCTCTGCCGCCGCGGCCCTGCGGCGCGCGCGCCGCGGCCTGCTCCGCCGCGCACCGGCCCTGCGGCTGCTGCGCGCTCTGCTCTCTCGCCGATGCTGTGTGCTCTGCTCTGCTCTCTCGCCGATGCTGCGCTCTGCTCTGCTCTGCTCTCTCTGCCCTCTCTGCTCTCTCTGCTATGCTCTCTCTGCTCTGCTCTCTCTGGATGCTGCGCGCTCTGCTCTCTCTGCTCTGCTCTCTCGCCGGTGCCGCGTGCTCTGCGGCGGCGGCCTCCTTGTCGGGGAAACGCAGGACTCGAGTTCGCTGGAGCTCGGCTTCGCCGAGACTTCCTGACGAGCCCGTCCAGGAGCTGGTCGGCCTCCTCGTCGGGCAAACGCGGGACTCGAGTTCGCTGGAGCTCGGGCTCGCCGAGACCTCCTGACGAGCCCGTCCAGGACTTGGACGGCCCAGCTTTTTCGTGGGCTGCTTGCCGTGGGAGGTCGCGTCGAATCTCAGACCGGGCGTCGTCGTTTTCTTGGCGGCCTCGCCAGGCCAGCCCGAGTCCACCGAACCGGAGTCTTGCGTCTCCCCGAGAAGAGCACGCTGCAGCCCGGCGTTTGTCAGGAGGGAAAAAACGCAGACACAATTAATCCTCGACTCCCCAGGAAATATGGGAAAATATGGGAAGTGGGGGGAAGACAGAAACCCAGAAAATACAGGAAGATATGGGGCATATTTTTATTTGTGTGCATTTGTTTGTGTGTCCTGGGGCCCCTTCAGTCTTGCGTCTCCCCGAGAAGAGCACGTTGCAGCCTGGCGTTTGCGCGGCTGTCGAGAGGCTGCGGCAAGCAACCCGCGTCGGCGTCCCCGCATTCCTCGGGGTCACCCGCGGGGGCGCGAAGATCATCGCGCTGCGCGCGTCGCGGTCTGGGCCAGAGCGGCCGCCTTTTCCAAGGGTGCGGCGCGGGGGCGCGAGGGCACGACGATGATTGGCGGCGCGCAGAGGGGGGCAGGGGGAGGGGGGAGGGCTTCTGAGAAGGAGGCTGCTTCTTAGAAGGCGCCGGCCTTACATTTGTAGACAAGGCCCGCGCCTTCTAAGAAGCAGGGGTGCTGCTAAGAAGCCTTCCCCCCTCCCCATACCCCCCTGTGCGCGCTGCCAAGATGATCGCGCGTCGCGCATCGCGGTGCGCGATTGGCGAGGTTAGGTGCCCGAGGTATTCGGCGCGCAGTGCGGCGAGATCATGGCGCGTCAGAAGAGCCGTCGGCGCGTCGACACCTTGCTGCCAAGAGCGCGTTGGTCGGCTCCTCGAGAGTCCACTTCAATGTGCTTGCGAATGATCTCGACAATGGACAATGGACAATGGCCTTGCCGATCTCTGCCTTGTACAGTGAGCCCATGCCAAGAAACGCCCTGCTTGCCTCCAGGGTGCCTGGGGTTTCTTGGGGTTCGATGGTTCTGCTGTGGACGGCGTGACGTTCCCACACCAAGCATCGATGGACGTCCTGGGGTCAGGGTTGGGTTTCTTGCGGAAGGTTTCTCGCGGACTGGCCTCCATTGCACCTCATTGGCTCCGCGCCACTGGTGGGAGTTGCGCTGTCGGAGACGGGCGATAGCTCCTTCTGGCCATCTCTGGCTCTCGCTGCCGCGCCCGCGATCCAGCCATCTGTGTGCAGCTGCGGCAGGGCGGCCGCGAGGCAGCCGTGGAACACCAGGGCGGCCTCGCGGGACGGCCGCAGGGCGACCAGAGGCGTGGGGCTTGGCATCGCTCGGACGTGTGCATTTTTCCTTCGGCGAGGACCATCGAGGAGCATCCTTGATCATTTGGCGAAAAAAACACGCACGACACCAAAAAAGCACAGGGAATGGACGTCCGAGCGATGGCCAGGGGGTGGGCGAGCGCTGTGACGTGGCACGTTCTCCAGAAGAGGTCGGGGGTGGGCAGACCTCCTGCCCTGACACGGTCGATCAGTGCATTGGCCGTTTTTGGTTCGCGAGCGGGCGCCGCGGCCGTCATTTGTTTGCGGGTGCGGGTCCGTCGGTTTCGGTCCCAGGCCGTTTTCACCAAGGGGAGGTTTACTAAAGGGAGGTTTGTCCACCGCCGAAAGGGCGGGACCTCTCCCACCGTGGCGCAGCTTCGCCTTGCCCGCACGCGCGACGCGATGCGAAACTGAACCCGATCTCCTGCTGGGGCCATCTCCGTTTGTTTTCACTCCCCCCCACTTTACATCATGGTATTCCTTTTGTGTTGGCATGCGCGCTGTCGGCATTCACACTGCTTTTCGTTCCCACGTTTGGGCTGAGTTTCAATGTGTCTTTTCCCTCGTGTTTTCTTTCGCGTCCTCTAACGGCACGTCGCCAGGGTCAAGCAGAATGCAATACTGCAAATGGTCTTGTTTGTGCACTTGCGATGTCAGGCAATTGGCCATATTTACCGACATGTGCTTGTTTCTCCCTGCGCTTGCAAACCAGGTCTCCCATGATGCGAACCCTCAAGGACGCGGAGGCCGAGGTAGTGTTTAAGGCAGTCGACAAGGAACTCTGCCGATTTTCTTCTACTCGCAGCTGCCGTCTGCGTTGACATTGATGCTTTGCAGAGTTATTGTTTTGGCTGTGCTCGTAGGTTCCGCAGAGCAGCCGGACGAGCGCTATGTGTAACAAGTCGTGTGCAATGATCGGTTCCTGAGACCAGGCAGAAGACATATGGGATATCCGTTTCCGCCACAGCAGTCTCATCACCCTCTGCACCCCATATTCGCCGATCGTTGAAAGTAGGTATTTTTTTGGATTCCTACTACTTAAGGTGCCTTCATACTTCAAGAACCGAGTGGCTGTCCTTTTTCCCTCCCCTCCAGGGGGCGGGCGGAGACCCCATCTATTTTCAACGCCTTCCTACTCCATGTTTCTACTCACTTCTTCCGACCGGCCGGCACTTTCCCCTCCCGTCCGACGCGGCCGATCTCTTCACTGCTCACCAGACCGGCTCAGCCCCAGCCCGAAGGTCCCAGTACCTCTCCCGAATTGTGGGGGTATGTTCGGGCGAAGAGACCTATGCACATGCACCGATCCTGACAACGTCCATTCTTGACCCAGGATCGGTGCATATACCTTCCTGGCCAAGAAAGAGGGCGTATGCACCGATCCTGGGCTCAGGATGGGCCTGGCCAGAATCGGTGTATGTACATAGTTCTCTTTCCTGTATGTGTGTGTGTGTGTGTGGGTGTGCGGGTTCCACCGTGCTTCCTTTGCGTTCCAGAACGGCCCACCCGCTGGAAGGTGGCAGGCACAGTGGCGACTTCTGGTTGGGTTGGGGCGGCTTGGTGGGCAGTCATCTCTCTGATTGCAGCTGATCGGAGCACAACACATGCACATTAATTCTTTTTCTGGCCGCCGAGGGCCCTGAAAGCTGGGTATCATGGTGTTCGTGGCAATCGGGTTTCACTGTTCTTCCTCTATGCTCCAGAACGTCCCACAGCTGGAATTCGGCAGGCCCCGTGGCGACTTCTGTTTGGGTCGGGGTGGTCTGGTGGGTAGTCATCTCCTCTGATCGCAGTTGATTCGGCAAGTTGATGAGGCACAAGATGAGACACAATTTCAGGCAGGGCGCTGTATTTTTCATGTGCTCCCGCCTGCCAGGATAACAGCAAGCTGATTGACAAGCTGGAATTTGAGAAGATCGCCCTGGTCCTCGAGTACCCCATCACAAGATTGAGGGCTCCGCGGGTATTGACATGGCTGCAGATTTTCTTAAGCAGTGGCGAAGCGTCCTGGCTTGCCTATTGGCCTGCCAAACAATGTTCTAAGAACCTTTTGTAGTTTCTACGAAATGTTCTTAGAACATTTCTGGCTGGGACTGTCTCGTCTTAACACATTTGGTTTCTGTTCTAAGAACATTGCTTTTGTTTTTAGAACATTATGGGGTCTAAGAACATTTTGTGGATAGGACTGCCGGGACGGTCGGTCCCTGCTCAATTTTCAACGCAGGCACCATTACTTAAACAGGGGCAGTGTCCTGATTCTTCGAATAAGTGAAACGCGTATTCTTATCCTCAGGGAGGGGGCGGTTTGGTTCGGTTCGATTCTGTTCGGTTAGGTTATCGGAGTGCATCCGGTTCAATTCGGTTCGGCGTCGAATTTTCTTGGAGGATGAAAGCACCGGTCTGCAACAGGAGGTCTTCAATGGGGGCTGAATGGCCCATGCATGCTCAATGTATCGCTCATGTATGTAATCGTGTATGATTGGCATCCAACGTTGGCGGTCTTGAAGGGCCAGTCGCTCGTTCCTGCGCGTTGCCCGCGCGCGCAAACGCGCCGTCCATCCATTCTTGTTCATACGTGCGGGGGATTTTGCATATCGCGCGTGGGGCGGCGAAGTGGAGTGCAAATGTGTCTTGATTGTGCGATTGATGATCGCGTTTGTTCCCAAACGATGACTTGTCGACCCCCAGGACAGATTTGGAATGAGTCCCGCGATTCTCCCAAAATGTGAATTCACCTATTTTTCCAAAGTGTGAATTCACATGTTCCTTTTCCCCAACATGTGAATTCATATTCTGACCCCTTCAGGAAGATTCGTATACAAAAGCCGAACATGTGAATTCAGATGTTCTTTTTGTCCGACATGTGAATTCACATTGTCCTTTTTTCGCAAAATGTGACTTCATGTTTTTGCTTTCCCCACATTGTGAGTTCACATTTTGCCCTGGCCCTCAAGATCCCCCAACAAGCGCAATGTTCCGCATGTCAGATTGGCTGGGCAGATTTTGACACTCACCTCACCGCTTTCGTTTATTTCAACTTTTTCTTTTTGTGCCCTCACCGCACGTTGCCATCGTCGCCTTTCCCGAGCCCCCCCGCCTCCGTGTTCCGTTTACCCTCAAGTCTCGCGCATGGGTGCAGGCGGGGAGCTTCAATTGGTTCCCCCGCCGAACAGAGCAATCGAGGGTGTATCGCCCATGCGTGGCCCATAGAGACACCACTGCCGGGACCCTCTCACCCTCCAAATTTTCCGGTTCGGTTCGGTTCGGTTCGTCGTTGTGAGGGTTGCTGCATGGTTCGGTCCGATTCGTCATGCTTTCGGTTCTGGTTCGGCCCGGTTCGCCGCAACGCGCGTCCCGGGATTTCGGGCCCCCCAGGCCTCAGGGATGTACCCCCAGGGCCAGGGTACTTACCCCCAGGGCCCCGGGACTTACCCCCGGGACTTACCGCGCCTGGGCCCTCCCGGGGACTTACCCCCGAGACTTCTCCCCGATGGACCCCAGGACTTACACGTGCTGGCTGGAGGGGGCGAACCCTCGCCCTGGCCCGGGGCAGTCTCTGGAGGTCCTCCGAGGCTTCTGGAACTGCCCGATGCCTCGGGAGGTCCCCCAGAGGGCCCCAAATTCAGATGAGGCACAGGCACCCATGCCTCTACCATTCCCTCGTTTTCCCTTCTCAGGGCCTCCTGGGAGGCTCTCGTCGCCACCGCTGGATTGGCCTCGAACTCCAGGTCAGAACGCACCCCTGGAGAGGTCCCGGGAAAAGCGGTATCGATGCCTCCAACCAGTTTGATGACCCTCGATCGATGGTCCTCCTTCCCCGTCCCCGAGGTACGACTTCTGGATCACGCCCATGAAGTCCCCGCTCGCGCAGTACATCGAGAACCATTACATGGGGCGCCGCCCCGCCGCCAAAGGAGGAGAGGCCCCCAATCGCCAAGCTGATCCTCTCCCTCACTCGGTCGGCCTCTTCGTCGCTGGAGGTGGAGCAAGGGGAAGATCGTCGCCATCGTCGATTGCGACGTCGTCGGGGGAGGTGCCTTCCCCTCCTCAACCCTTCTTCTCCCGCCCTTCCTCATTCTTCGTCTCCTTACCCTCCCCAACCCTGGTTCCCTGCAAACGATTCTTCGCGCTTCGAGTATCCGCACCAGCCTGTTTCAGACTCCCTGGGATTGCACGACCGCCTGGCCCCTCAGACGCCCTGGGTTGCCGCTGCTTTGCCGCCTGATCCGCGGCCCCGCGCGCGCCCGGGAATTTAGTCGCGGCCGCAGCCCGACCGTGACTGCTCGCCGCCGGCGCTTCCGCCTGCGGCTGTATAAAAAAAGTATCCGCACCAGCCCGGTTGAGAAACCCTGTCGAAGGGAAAAGGGACGAGGAGACACTCAGTGAAACAAAGCCGGCAATCATGGTTAGCAGAGAGATCTTTGGGAACAAGGGTGTGGTTTTCGAGGGCACCTTCGGGGCGGAGAGATCTTTGGGGCCCGCGTTTGGGCGAGGGGCGGCGGATGAGGAGGAGGGGGAGGAAGAGGAGAGGAGGAGGAGGAGGAGGAGGAGGAGGAGGAGGAGGAGGAGGAGGAGGAGGAGGAGGAGGAGGAGGAAGAGGATTTTTTGACATCCACAGCCACAGAGCCTCTCATAGGGGGCAAACAGTTTCGAGATCGGCAGTGACCCCGACCCTCTTGTGATCAGGGTGGAGACCTTTGCCAAATCTCGTCCAAACTTCGCTCCGACCAGGCGGGCTGCCAAGGCATCGCTTAGCAAGCCGAGGAGGAGAAAGAGGAGGAGGAGGAGGAGGAAGAAGACGAAGACGAAGACGACGATTACGACGACGAGGAAGAGGAGCAAGAGGAAACGAAGATGACGAAGGCAAGGACGAGGACGAGGAGGCGAAGCAGGAGGAGGAGGAGGAGGAGGAGGAGGAGGAGGAGGAGGAGGAGGATGACAATGAGCACCAGGACAGAGCTCTCAAAATCACCTCTTGGAGCCCTTTGGGGACTCTTTTGGGGGATCTTAGGGCTCTCTTGGGTCATCTTGGGGCTATCTAAAGGTCTCAAAGCGCATCGGACGTGAAAAGGCGATGAGTGACATCTCGTTGTTTTTTCCATCGGTTTTTGACAGATGGGGGGGGTCCCGTGGGGGCTCCGAGAGCACTTGGAACCGTTTTGTGGCCCTCGTCGGGCCTCTTGGAGGTATGTCGGAAGGTATCTTGAACCACTGTCGGCTATCTTGAGCCATATTGGAGGCCATCTTGGACTATCATGGGCCCTCTTGGCGCCATCTTGGGCGCTCTAACCTTTCCACCCCCGCCCAGACCCAGGGAGGGGGAGCAGGTAGACTCCCCGAAGGGAAGGGGGGCTTCGAAGAAAGAAGTCGAAAGACCACCTTAGCCCAAAGGGCTGGTGGGACGCCTCGTAGCGCCACCGTGCGTGTTGGTAAGGCAGTCTGGGCGTTCCGCCCGAGACTCCCTCACCGCCGGTGGTCCTGAAGCATGACGCTCCAAACAGTTACACGCCGGTCGTTGACAGGAGGTACCTTTGGATTCCCACATCCTAATCTAGTGGGCGCCTTCCTACTTCAAAGGTCGACTGGCTTCCTTCTTCCCTCCTCTTTCGGGGGCGGGCGGAAGCCCAATCTACTTCCAACGCCTTCCCACTTCATGTTCCTACCCACTTCTTCCGACCGGCGTGTACACGGATGGAGGGCGAACTGTTTTCCACATGTGGCCCTTCTCCCCGCGCCGCACACACGCAGTTTTCCATGTTTAGTTGGTGCACGGTTGGAGGGCGGTCCGCTTTCAACACGGTGCTCTCCCTTCAGGTTCGCTGAGCTCCATTGCCAGAAGTTGAGGTGCGCAACAGATCCTCACGGGTTGAAGTCTGCTCATTTTCAACACGGCGTTCTCGCGTGTGATATCTTGGGAAGTTCTGACACGTGGCCAGATGTGAATAAGTATGAATCAGCTACTCGATTGAGGGCGGCCCATTTTCCAAACGGGGCTCTAAGTGATAGAACCCTGTTCTGTCCCGGCCAACCCCGAAGACACAGCAAGCTCCTCAGCAGGCCGCGGCGCTTCTGAGAAGCCCCGCCGCCTTTTGAGAAGTCGGGGGTGGACAGACCTCCTACCCTGACCCGTCGATTAGTGAATTGTTCGTTTTCGGTTCTCGAGAGGGCGCCGTGGCCGTCATTTTCCAGGCTTGCGCCCGCCAGGTTTGGGCCCGAGGTCGTTTTCACTAAACCACGTTTTACTGAAGGGAGGCCTGTCCATCCCCGACTTTTGAGAAGACCTCCTCCTCACCTATCCCCCCCCTCCGCTCGCCGCCGCACCAGGGAGCTCCCGAGGCTCACGGGGCCCTCGATCGCTGGGCCTCCCTCTTGCCGGCCCCGCGTGGCCCGCGCGCCCCGGTTGCGTCGGGCGTGCCCCTCTACAGGAGGAACATCCAAAGATAGCCAACAAACAGGTTTTCCCTTTGGATATCCCTCTACAGGAGGAACATCTTGGATATTCCTCCTGTAGAGGGATATCTTTGGATACCCCTCTACAGGAGGAATATCCAAAGATAACCAATATCCAAAGTGTCCCTCTCGAGTACTTCTGTTGTCTATCCTTGAGGTTTTTGCTTGGCTGATTTTGCTCGTCGAGAATCCGCCTGTTGGAGGACATGCCCGACCTGAGCCCAGGGTGCTGCCAGCGGCTCTGCACGGAGGACGGGGGCCCCCGCAGGGCCCGGCGGCCCCCGTCGCCAAGGGCAGCGGAGCGCTGGAGTGCTTCCGGCTCGGCCTCTTCCGGGTTCGGCTCCTCGCGGCCGCACGGCACTCCCGGGGGGCCACCCGCGCCTGCGGGGCCCCGTCCAGAGGGCGGAGGACGGGGTTCGAGGCGCCCCATCTGCCGGGGGTGGACAGAAGCCCCGCCCTGACACGTCGATCAGTGGATTGTCCGTTTTCGATCTCGAGAGGGCGCCGCGGCCGTCATTTTCGGCCGCCAGGTTTGGGCCCGAGGTCGTTTTCACTGAACCACGTTTTACTGAATGGCTGTAGGTCCCTTGACGCCACTCATGTCAGTGACGAGCTGAATGCCGCCTTCTGCGGCGTATCGGTGCCTACACGCTCTGCGCCTGGTGTGGCGCGCGCTGCTTGGGGCCACCTGTTCGCAGGTTGGGGGGGGGAGGTGAGTTTCTGAGGCCAAACTTGCTTCCCTTGGTGGCCACCTCGAGCGTCAATATGATGCGAGGCAAGCTCCCCACAGGTGGCCACCTCGAGCGGCACTGCACTGCGGTGCGAGGCGAGCTCCTCACTAATAGGGGACCACATGCGAACCCTACCCCATACCCCCCACGGTTTCTGAGGGGGACGGTGGGGTTCGCATGTGGCCCCCTAACTAAGACGGATGTGAGGTCAGAGGGAGGGGTGCAGGCTCACACCACTTGTGATCGCTGCTTGTTCCAGCTTGCCAGCTTGGTGTGGCCGTTACTTGTCGTCTCGGGCGTTTCCGATCAAACGCAAACTTGTGTTTTGACGAGCTGCTGTCTTTTGGAGGGGGCGGAGGTGGACACGGATGTCCTGACAAAATGTGGTTAAGGTGGAGTCCCTGGGGAAAGGTCAGGGGAATGGAGTTCTTTGGACTGGGGGGATTGGCTTAGGGTGATTGCTCTAGGCCACCAACCGTGCAGGTGCTGCTGGGATTCTCAGAGGAGGAAATGTACCCATACCGCTACCCTTCCCTCGTTTTCCCGTTTTGGACCGCCTGGGAGGCCCTCATCGCCACCGCTGGATTCGCCTCGGAATTCTAATAAGAACCTACCCCGGGAGAGGTCCGGAGAGTAGCGGTATCGGTGCCTTTTGGTCTCCTTAGATTCTGATATATTTGACATGCACGCGAATTCTTCAAGAGATTTTGGTTCGGAGGCGAAAGCGTTGAGGGGACTGTTGAGAGGATCCCGTGGATGTGCTATTGGGTCGTGGGCTATTTGGGAGTCAGGTGCCGGGTGCAGACTGGAGTCACATCGCGTGGAATTCCAGGGGCCCTTCCTGGAGTCCCGGAGGAGCCATGAGGGTCGAAGAGGTTGGGGGGCCACCAGACGGTGTGATGATCACACCGTGTGGTGAGTCGGTGGGGATTCGGTTGCTCCGTTCGGTTTTTTGGGACTGGGATCGTCCTCCGAGGATGTCTCGGGCGGCTCGGGCCTCTGAGGTCCCAACGCCGTGTGGTGACGGACCCTGCGGCGAGGTCGTTGCAGATGTCGAGGTCACCGCCAGGTCTGTCACCCCACGGCTTCGGCCCCCCCAAGAATCGGGGGAGCGTAAGACCCGGGTTTGCCGGGACTCGGGTTCGCCACCGTTTTTTGACGACCGCGCCTCGGATTTTGACGAGGAGGAGTTTCGTGGGATGTCTGCAGCGGGAGGCCTCGTCAAAATGCAGGCTCGGCCTCGTCATTTTTTTGACGACCTCGTCGGGGATTTCCGAGTCCCCCGTACCCGGGTCTTACGTCTCCCCGAAAGAAGTACTTGAGCCACATGCTTTCGCAGGTTCATCTGCCTTCCATGGGGGGGGCCCGATTGGCGTGAAGCTTGGGCTTGACTTGGCGGTGCGAGAGTAGGGCCCCCTCCGGGCGGAGACGAATCGGCCCTCCCTCGGACCACTCGGGGACAGGGGTGGGGATGGTCCGAAAGGAGCGCCCAACAGCCCCCTCAACTCATCTTCGTCTCGTCCAGGAGGTGAGCCACTTCGGGTGCGATCAGGAGCAACAAATCAGCCCAGATTCGGTGCGAGGCGCTCCACACCTTCGTTTGCGTCGGCACTGTTCGAGTGGCAGACCGCATTCGGGCCTCTCTCTGTATGCCGTCTTGCTGTCGAGAGTTGTGCTGGCTGCAATCGCCATGCCGGGATGCAAGTCCTGGAGCTTGAACCCAGCATTGGCGCTGGCACAGCCGTGGCCGGAATCCAGCATACCTCATCCAATCCCGCCAATTCTAGCTCGATCCTTTGCCGAACCTGGCTGACTCGGGCTCCGTGGCCTCTCGGTCAGGACCAAGAGCACGGGACAACCCCCAGGTGCTGGGAAGGCATCGCGATTCGCGCGTCGCGGCCTGGGCCCGAGGGGCGTTTTTCTACAGGGTGGCCTTGCGAGGGTGCGAAGATAGGGTTTGAGTCGGGCCTGTTTATCTACAGGGGGCATATTCAAACATAGTCAAACATATAGTCAGGGGACTATTTTTGTTTTTTTGGTCATTTGGGAGTTTTTTTGGAGTATTTTCTAATTTCGTCGAAAATACCTCTGTAGGGGGACACGCCCGACTTACAGATAGGGTCGCATCGCGCATCGTGACGTACGAAACATTCACACCCGTATGCCCACAGGGGGGGGCGGAGGGGACTACGGGTGCCTGTTGTCGTATGGGGGTCCTCGCTCGACCAGGAGTCGCTCCCAGGGTTCGACAACCCGCCCCATTACCCATAGCCAGTCCTCCTCCCTATGGGTCTGGGTGTGTGCTTGTGTGTGTGGTGTGTGTGTGTGGTGTATGTGTGTGTGTGTGTGTGTGTGGTGTGTGTGTGTTTGTGTGTGTGTGTGCGTGTGTGATTGTGTGCGCGTGGGTGTTGTTCGTTCCTCGCGCTGCAGGGCGCGATGTGCGAAGTAGAGTCCCCGCTCGCTCGTTCCCACAGAGGCCTCCCGGGAATTGCCTCCCAAACTGTGCTCCACGGTCGGCGCAGCAGCAGCGAGGCGGCATGCGCCCGCTGCCGCCGCGCGCCCCCGCGCGCCCGCGCGCCGTCGCGCGCCCGCGCGGCGCAGGGCGTGGCCTCCGGCCTGGGCAGGTGCACCTCGCTGGGTGCGGTCAGCCCTGCGCCCTGCTCGTTTCTGACCTCTACTCAGTATCGTTTGACCGACCCCCATCCCCATCCCCATCCCCTTCGAGACCCCCACCAAATTACCCCCCCAAGTGGGCTTACACCCCTCGAAACCCGAAGGGAACGGCATATATCCCAATCTAGGGGGGTAAATCGGCCAGTGGGGCCCAGGCCACGCCGCTGGGGATGGGGATCGGATAAACGGTGCTCACACTGGGCGCGTTCTTCTACTCGCAAAGCGCCTACTCCGGATAACGGAAAGAGCGAGGTACGAGTAATGACGTTCTGGTGTGGGCGAAGCACTTAAGGGGGGGTTCCAGGGGGGGGGGAAGGGGAGTGCAGTGGTCTAGTGGCCGTGTTTGGCCGTTTTCCTTCGGGTTAACGGAATGAGCGAGGTACGAGCGATGACGTTGTGTTAGGGCGAAGCCCCAGAGGGAGGTGTTCCAGGGGAGGGGCGAAGCGTGAGGAGATTGGCGTTAATGGCCGTGTTGTGGGTTTTCCCTCGGTGTTTTTTGCATGTTTTTCGAATTCTCCCTTAAGACGGCCCAAGAGCGCTCCAAGAGAGCCCAAGACCGCCCAAGACGGCCCAAGAGGCCCCCAAGAGGCCCCCAAGAGGGGCCCAAGGGGCGTCCCAAGAGGGCCCCAAGAGGCCAACATCATAGATTTCCGATGGGACAAAAAAGGCTACATTTTTAGCATGCACGGCTTTGCGCCTTACGACGGCCCAAGAGGCCCCCAAGACCGCCCCAAGACGGCCCCAGAGGCTCCCAAGAGGCCCTCCAAACGGCCCAAGAGGGCCCCAGACGGCCCAAGAGGCGCCCAAGACGGCCCCAGAGGGCCCCAAGACGGCCCCAAGAGGGGGACCACGAACGGAAAAGTCAGCCTATCGCCCCAAGACGCTCCCGGGAGGTCCCCACAGCCCCCCAAGAAGCCCCAAGAGGCCCCCAAGAGGCGTCCCACGAGGCCATCAGGAGGCGAAAATCATTGATTTCCTGTGGGAGAACGTACGTTTTTTCAGCATGCACGGCTTTTCGGCTTCCACGGCGCTGGAGACGGCCCCAGAGCCCCCCAAGACCGCCCCAAGACGGCCCCAGAGGCTCCCAAGAGGCCCCCCAAACGGTCCAAGAGGACCCCCAGACGGCCCAAGGGGCCCCCCAAACGGTCCCAAGAGGCCACCCAAGACGGCCCCAGAGGGCCCCAAGACGGCCCCAAGAGGGGGACCACGAACCCGACAGTCTAGCCTTTCGCCCCAAGACGATCCCAGGAGGGACCCACAGACCCCCAAGAAGCCCCAAGAGGCCCCCAAGAGGCCCCCAAGAGGCCTCCAAAAGGGCTCCAAAAGGGCCCCAATAGGACTCCCACGAAGGCCCCGAGACGCTAAATAAAGAGCGATCGGTCACGCAAAAAGCTTTTCATACCAAGGCTCCCAAGAGCGAACGGTGACGTACACAAGCTGATACGACCAAGGTTCCCAGCAGAGAGCGGTGACGTAACAAGTTCCTGACACCAAGGCCCAGCCAAGGCTCAGGAACGGGCGGCAACGCAACCATCTCTGAACACCAAGGCTCCCAGGAGCGAGGGGTGACCGAACAAGCTCTCAACGCCAAGGCTCCCGGTACGAACGGTGGTGTGAGTATTTTCGGTTTCTGTTGCTGCAGCGCTCTTTCCGTTTCTGTGCCGGGCTAGGTTTTGTATGTTTTTTCGGGTTTCTCCCATTTTCCGTCCCAGAAGAGCCCAAGACCGCCCAAGACAGCCCCAGACGGCCCAAAAGGCTTCGAAGAGGCTCCCAAGAGGCGCCCAAGGGGCTTCCCAAGAGGGCCCCAAGAGGCCAACATCATTGATTTTCCTTAGGGAAACGTGCATTTGTAGAATCCACGGCTTTTCGGCTTTCACGGCGTTGACGACGGCCCAAGAGGCGCCCAAGACCGCCCCAAGACGGCCCAAGAGGCTCCCAAGAGGCCCCCAAAACGGCCCAAGAGGACCCCCAGACGGCCCAAGAGGCGCCGAAGACGGCCCCAGTGGGCCCCAAGACGGCCCCAAGAGGGGACCACGAACCGAAAAGTCTAGCCTTTCGCCCCAAGACGCTCTCAGGAGGCCCCAAAAGGCCTCCAAGAGGCCCCAAGAGGCCCCCAAAAGGCGTCCCAGGAGGCCACCAGGAGGCCAAAATCATTAATTTCCGATGGGGAAACAGTGCATTTTTACCATACACGGCTTTTCGGCGTCCACGGCGTTGAAGACTGTCCAAGAGGCCCCAAAGACCGCCCCCAGACGGCCCAAGGGGCTCCCAAGAGGCCCCCAAAACGACCCAAGAGGGCCCCAATGCGGCCCAAGAGGTGCCCAAGACGGCCCCAGAGGGCCCCACGACGGCCTCAAGAGGGAGACCATGAACCGAAAAGTCTAGCCTTTCGCCCCAAGAAGCTCCCAGGAGGCCCCAAGAGCCCCCCAAGAAGCCCCAAGAGGCCCCCAAGAGGCCCCCACAGGGGCTCGAAAAGGGCAGCAATAGGACTCCCAAGAAGGCCCAGAGAAGCCCCAAAAAGAGCGATCGGTAACGCAAAAAGTTCTTCACACCAAGGCTCCCCAGAGCGAACGGTGACGTAAACAAGCTGATCAGACCAAGGCTCCCAGCAGGGAGTGGTGGCGTAACAAGTTCCCGACACCAAGGCCCAGCCAAGGCTCAGGAACGGGCGGCAACGCAACCATCTCTGAACACCAAGGCTCCCAAAAGCGCGGGGTGACGTAACAAGCTTTCAATGCCAGGGCTCCCAGTACAAACGGTGGTGTGAGTATTTTCGGTTTCTGTTGCTGCAGCGCTCTTTCAGTTTCTGTGCCGGGCCCAGGTCTCATTATAATGGGGGGGTCTATTTTTTGGGGGGTCTAACGGGCCTCGTCTAACAAGATAGCGGGGGAGTCTCGATTTGGGACCCTCACTTGCTTCCCAAGGGGGGGTCTACTTCGGGTTGTCATGCAGATCGTTGGGGGGTGTTTACATTTTTTTCGACATCTGATGATGACTTTGGGGGGGTCCAGCTCCACGCCAGTCGCCAGATCCCTGACGCCGACGCCGACGCCGACGACCACGGCGCCCGCGACAGCGACGCCCCCCGTCGATGCCGTCGTCGGCGTTACCGTCGTCATCGGTACCATCGGTGTCGCCGTCGTCGTCGACATTGTCGTCGTCGTCGCCGCACTCGCCGCCGTTCTCACCGATGTCGTCAGCGTCGTCGTCGTCGGTGTTGTCGTCGTCGGTGTTGTTGTCGTCGTCATCGTCGCCGTCGTCGTCTTCATTGTCGTGGTCGTTGTTGACGTCACCGGCGCCATCGTCGGCGCCGTCGTCGTCTTTCTGTGGGGGGGTCCAACAATTTGTGCGACAAAGC